GAAAAAAAAAAAAAAAAAAGAATAAAACAAGCTGAAGCACCAAACGGGGATGCGAGCTCTCCTGATGCCGACCTGCGCCCGGCAGCTCCCGCGGTTCGGGATACGTGTCCCTTGGGACAGCGCGCTGCAAAGCGCTGCACGAGGCCGGGCGGCAGGGCCCGACGCCCGCACCCTGCCCGTGCAACGGCGCTCGAGCCGCATTGACGGCGTTCCCTGCTGAAACCCCCCGACTTCGTAGTGGCCTTTGCCTCCTTTGAGCAATCAGCCTGAGAGGGACACGGGCGGGCGCCCACGGCTGCAACGCAGCGCCCGCGCCCCTCGTGTTGCTCGCGTCTCAAGAGCCTGCAAGTCTAATTAACCCGTTAACCCGCTGCAACAAAGCGTCTCGGCTAGGAGTGCTCCTTCACTTGCCTTACACAGCTGCAGACTTCCCACGAAGTTTAACAAACTGATACGCTGCGCCCACAGCTTACACGCCCCGAACACGCTGGCCTTGGAGCCGTCAGACCAGCACGAGTAGGATGCCTGGGCAGCGTTCCCGGCCGAGGAAGCATGGATCATTGTAGAAGGTACATGGATCATTGTAGAAGGTAGAGTTTTCTAATGAACAGCCCTGAGCGGGCCGCGCCGTGTGTATTCTCCCACTTCCTGCACTTTCGAAACCAAAGGTACCTTTGCTGAGAGAGATCCGATTTCTTCAGGCAGTGGCACGGATGTAGAACCCTGTTAGGATGGATTTTGCTTTCATTCCTTTCTTAAAGGAGATGGCTTCGTTCAGCATAATGGATTAAATGCAATAGGATTAATGCAATTACTCGTCGAGCTTTCAAGCCGGTTTGCTACGAAGACATAGTGCTGACAAGACTCCTTCTAATACGGATTGTTTAGATGTCCTTTGCCACATTCTTCAAGCTGCTAATGGCACAACTAGCTGCATTTCAAGGAAGAGAAGCCAGGCTAGGCCCAGAGCTGCACGTCACGCACTGTGGAACCGCATGGAGGAGGCGGAAGGGCGAGCTGGTGCCAACCCAACGCAACGGGGTCGGTGGAGGTCCACCCTCCACCTTGGGGTGCTCCCGCCACCCTGGTCTCAGCCGCAGGGTTGACCGGGTTCCTTTGTCCACGTAGCCTTGGCAGGAGTAGGAGGCCTAAGTTCTGCGCTGTTATTTCGGGGGTAATTGCACTAACACAACAGGCCTAACCCCAGCGCAGCCTCTCGCCGCTGCTCCGTTGCAAGGAGAGCTTCTCCCCACCGTTCCCCGGCCACGCAGCAGTTGGTTGCCACTTTTAAGCACGTTTGGCCAAGTCTAAAACAGCTCTCGAGCAAGGGGGCAACTGCTTCCCCTGCCCATGGGTATCCTCACAGGACCGTTGAGTTTCCATAACTCCTTGCCCAAGCCCTCGTGGAGCTGGGGAGCGACGGAAGCCTCCAGCCTTCGCTACCAAAAGCAGCCCCTGCTCCTGGAGCCGCTCGTCTTCACGCGTGGTCAGCACAGGAAATTCTTCTCACTGCAGGGACCTGCTGCTAAGAGGCGGCACAAGCCCCTGGGCCACCAGGCCACGTCTCCAAACCTCCAGAGAGCTGCTCAGGCCCTAGAGGAAGCAGGGCCGTCTGTGTCGCCTATGTGCCATGTGTATTAAAGCCTCTGTATTTACGTCCTGTCGTTTTCCCACCGTTTTACTGGGCAAACCTCTTAGCGTCCACGTGGAAGGAGACGAGCGTTTCCCTCCGCAGCGCTCGAGTCTGTGCCACACGTCACCACGTCCCCCGGTGCCAGTCACTTGTAGCCTTGGTGTAAAATTACTCAGAAATTGTAAGATATGGTAAAAAAAGGATAACATATCTTTGAAACCTCCCCTTAGGGTTTCGGGATCAATAGAAAAGGAGAATCTCCTGAGCTAAAAACTCATTAAGAGCTTAACGTTTTCCACTCCGTTTTGTAAAAACTCAGTGGACGTTCCCACGTGCGGGAAGGAAAGGCCTCGCTTGCTCTGAATACAACAGCCCCTAAAATGCTGACGAGCGGAGCGGGTCCAGGCTGCTCGGAAGGGGCTCGTGCCTGGGACGCGACTCTCACGGCCCCGACAACCCCGTGGCCGCCGCGGGCATCGGGCACGGGCTGCCGTGAGCGCAGTTTGTTCAACAACCGGAGCAACTTCGAGCTTTTCCTTCATGGAATTCTGCACCCAAGGTTTGAATTAGAGGCTGAGGCTAAAAGGAGAGATGAGCCGGACCCCCAAATCAAGTGCTCCCCAAAGAGGGGGAAAGGAAGTTGTTTTAGGCCAGCTCAAAACATGCAAACTTGAGCCTGCTTCTGGAACAGCCTGAGCCAAGACCTGAAGCTGCAGCTCTTCGACTTTTGCTGTTTGAAGTCCTCCTGCACGAGCAGCTAATACTGCGCCCAGCAGAGCGAGGGAGGGTTGGGACCGTGTCCAGCCGAGCTCAGGGCTGCTGCCTGATGTCCCAGCAGGAAGGCAAAGCCGCAGGGACAACCGAGCTGGGGCCGGAGCTCTGCTGAAATCCCACCTACAGAAACCATCCCGTACGGCAAGCAGGTCACAACGTCCCCTCGCCACGCAGCCCTGGTGGCAGGTCCCCCCCGGAGCGCCACCCGCGCACGAGCCACTTCGGAGCCCGGCGCCGGCGGATGGGGAGCCGCGCGGGAGCGGCAGGGACGCGCGGCACCCCCCGGTCAGCAGAGCTCGTTGACTTGCCTTAGGTGCCCAGCAGCGCCGCTCCGCGCGCCGTGGCCTTTCCCCATCCGCTGGAATTCCACCCTGGAATTCCACCCTGGAATTCCACCCTGGAATTCCGCCCTGGAATTCCACCCTGGAAACCCATGGATCCCTCCACGTAGGTCCCCGCAGAAGCGCGAGTTCCACCTGTACCGTCACGGCGTCGTACCGGGCTTCAGTGCGTGCTAGCAGCAGCCGATTTCAGCTAAGCAATAAAGAAAAAGAAGCAAACCTTGTAAAGAATAATAATAATAAAAACCACGTTCTCTTTCTTGCACTATGACCTGTTTTGTTAAAGAGAATAGTGACGCTTTCCTGGTCCTTACAAATGAAATAAGCCGACACGTCAGTAGCTTCCCCTTGGCCTGGCAATGCCCGTCTCTCCGTGTCCTCATGTGGGCATCGGTCTTTGTCAAACTCAGCCCAAACCCCCATGTCCAATCTGCAGGGCAGACCTGCTCCTTCGCAGCGCAAGGCTCTCCACGTTCATTTCCTTCCGCTCCCATCAGAAAGAAAATATGGGAATGTCTTGTTTTTCTATAATTTGTAAATATAGCTCCATCCATCCTGTCTGTAAAATCTCTTTGTTGTTCTAAAGTATTCTATGTATTTATTTGCCTTTTCTTCAAAGCAAAAAAGAAAACCCCACCATTTACGAGTTAACCCCCTTTTTTTCCAATAAGAAATGTATATCTGAAGCTGTAAAAATAAGAGTTTGCAGCAAGAAGATTTATGGACTACAGAAGCGTTTAATATAAGGACTTACAAACCGACTGCATGGGAGATTGAAAAAGGCCAAAATACTCAGACGTCTTTTTTTTTTTTTTGAATCACTGTAAAAAGAAAAGACTGGATTTTTTTGTATAGAGAACACTAAACATATAATAAAACCTTGTTCAAAACTGGCGCCAAGGCCGCGATTCCTTCCCGCGCGCTCTCCAACGAGCGGAGCCGCCCCCGGCTGATGCCCTGGGAGGAAGGACGGAGCGGAAGGGGACGCAGGGAAGCGGTTGTGGGTGCAGAGCACGGATGCGTCTCGGTGCATGGGGTGTCACCCCATGGTGCCTGTCAGCGGGGTGATCCCGGGCGCTTTATCTGCTCTCCGACCTGTCACCCGCTCTCCAACGGGTGCCAAGGATCCAAGGCGGCACCGGGATCGCTGCCGCATGGAGCACGCGGCTCCTGCGGAGCTGGCGACCCGCTCGGACGCCCCCGAGCGCCTCTGCACAAGGGGAGATGTTTTTTCCATGGGGGGAAGCTGCGGGATGGAGCAGGAGGTGCCTGGAGCGCACGGGGCAGTCGCTGGCACCGCCGAC